TAGGTTAAAATATGTAACGGATGTAAAAATACACCAAACTAAAACAGAACAGGCTTAAATATGGAGAGGATGTAAGAATACATCAAACTAAAACAGAATAGGTTTAAATATGTAAAGGATGTAAAATAAACAACATCAAACTAAAACAGAAAAGGTTAAATATGTAAAAGATGTAAAAATACCCCAAACTAAAACAGAACAGGCTTAAATATGGAGAGGATGTAAGAATACATCAAACTAAAACACAATAGGTTAAAATATGTAAATGATGTAAGAATACATCAAACTGAAACAGAATAGGTTAAAATATCTAAAGTATGTAAAAATACACCAAATTAAAACAGAACAGGCTTAAATATGGAGAGGATGTAAGAATACATCAAACTGAAACAGAATAGGTTAAAATTTGTAAAGGATGTAAGAATATATCAAACTAAAACAGAATAGCTTAAAATATGTAAAGGATGGAAAAATACACCAAACTAAAACAGAATAGGATAAATATGTAAAGGATGTAACAATTCACCAAACTAAAACATAATAGGTTAAAATATGTAAAGGATGTAAAAATACATCAAATTAAAACAGAACAGGCTTAAATATGTAAAGAATGTAAAAATACATCAAACTAAAACAGAATAGGTTAAAATATGTAAAGGATGTTAATATATCAATAGAAAACAAATTGCTTGTAAAAGATATCATGTCTTATTATGATGATCGAATTAATGTAAGTATTCATATGTTAAATGCACACACAATGTATCAAATAAACTTTTCATAGACGGTACATTATAGAATCTGTCACGTATTTGTTTGAAATCAGCATATTCAATCATAAAACGTTTGACTTAAATGGTTGATAACATGCATGGTGATAAGGTTGATCTTCCTTGCGTTAAATATAGCCATGTGTGATGTAGGCATGGCCTATGTACAGTCGCGAGACGAATTACAAATGTGGATTATTTTGACACAGCATATCAAGAGCTATTTTTTCTTGGTGTAAAGTAAAGTGTAAATAAATTATTGTTACAAAGATAATATTTTTCTGATGTACTGGAGTACTTTTGATTGAAAATATAATTTCCATGTAAGAAATTCGACTTTTTTGTAGAAAGATCGAATTCTTGATGTCTAAAAATAATCTTTATTTTTGTATAAATGTATTGTTGACTTTGTTGATAACTGGATGTAGTTTTATTATTAAAGCGTCGTCACTAAGGACTTTCTACGTTATTGTTTCGTCACATATGGACTTCTATCGGATTAAAAAAAACCAAAAAAAACAATTGTCTCTTGTTGGTAGGAGGTTGGAATGTCATCTACAGGGAAATTAAGTTTCATCCCGGGTAAGTTTTCCACTGCTGTTGGGGTCATTTATCAAAGTTTAATAATGACACTTTTCCGCCACATTGATTTGTATAGAGTCCTGTTTTAAAAACGGCACTCTTCCTTCGACTAGTCAGCCATGGAAATATATGAGGTATGCTTCTCACACCATATATGGGTACTTATATTAATAACTATGTACTTTGTAAAAGTTATATAGGCATACCGCTAGATGGAAGTAGGTTTTGAGAAAAGTGTGGGCTGTTCAAATCGCCTTGCAACAATTCTTGTGTCTGTCGTTTCCCAGGAATTTCTGAACGGATCCTTCTCCAATTTAATGGTAGTACGCGCACCCAACCAACCTTAGTGGTGCGTGTTCGATTTTGAGATTGGTCACAAGAAAACATGACGGTCAGGCTGTCATCGTGGGGTTTGACAACATTTGTTTCGCTATTCTCAGACAATACTTAAGATCTTTGTCATGTTTTACAAATAGTTTTTTTTATTTATCCTGACTTGACAAGTGCTGCCGCATGTTTGAATTTGAAACTGGTCGCCAGCTAAAGAACAACCTAGCTATCAGGCGAACGTTTTAGACTTGTCAGACTTTCCTGTCTTCTACTCTGCGCTCTTCGAATAGTGTTGTTATTCCTATAAAATCTTCAGCATGGCTTTTTCCGGACTATAGCGAATTCATCTCATAAGAAACAACTTCTCAATTTTATAGGTATTTACGGCATATTGAAAGTTAACACTAGAATGATTATGATGTAACAGGGATAGAATTAATGTATTTGCTTTTATGTATGTTTGTTTACTAAGTCCGTCCGTAGCGCGTCGACTGTCCATGTATATATTCCATACTTCGAGTAATGTAACTACCGCGTCCGCGTGTTGTATTCTATACTGTGATGTTATGTCTACAGGTGTATTGTGATGTTCTGCTCGTTACGTATGTTGATACGTTGGTATACCATATTGTTGTTCATTTACGTCAAGTTGTGTGTGTTTTCATTGGTTCGTTCTGGGAGGTCAGATTTTGCGCGTGTTTCTTTGTGGGCTATACTGAATTACGCTAGTACCTTTTGAGGACTCACAGGTGACGTACGGAGAGAGTTGTGTAATACCCAACGTATAGGTATTATGTGTTTTATTTGAGTGATTATTATTTTTTGATCTAATCTAAGCATAGATGATTCATTTAATAAGAAATTATATCTATATGATTAATGTATTTTAGCTCACCTGTTCCGAAGGACCATGGTGAGCTTATGCCATACCGCACCGTCCGTCGTCCGTCAACTTTTCCTTTAAAACACTACTAGTCCTGAACGGCCAAGTAGATCTTGACTAAATTTGGTTGGGAGCATCCTTAGGCCAAGGCGCTCAATTTTGTATAAACGGTGGGTGTGGCCCCCTGGGGGCTGAGGGGCGGGGCCCAATAGGGGAAATATAGAAAATTCTTTAAAATCCTTCTGCTTCTGTAGGAATGAAAAGATTTGTTCCATATTTAATCTGAAGCATCCTTAGCTGGAGGGGAACCAATTTTTTATAAACCACGGGTCTTTCCCCCAGGGGCCTGAGGATGGGGCCCAATAGGGGAAACATAGCAAATTATTTAAAATCCTTCTTATTCTGTAGGAATGAAAGGATTTTATCCGAATTTAGTCTGAAGCATCCTTGGGCAAAAGGGACTTTAGGCATTTTGTATAAACAGCGAGTGTGGCCCCCTGGAGGCTGAGGGGCGGGGCCAAACAGGGGAAACAGCAAAATCTTTAAAATCATTCTTCTTCTGTAGGAATAAAGGATTTGGTCCAAATTTGGTATGAACGGCGTGGCTGACCCCCTGGAGGCAGAAAGGCAGGGCCCAATAGGGGAAGTAGAGGTAAAACCTTTAAAATCCTTATTCTACCGTAGAGATTAAAGGATGTTATCCTAATTTAGTCTGGAGCATCATTGGGCCAAGGGTATCTAATTTTGTATAATTGGTGGGAATGACCCCCCTAGGGGCATAGGGGTGGGGCTCTGTTTGAAATTTCTTATATCTCAAATACTGGATGGATCTTTATGAAATTTCATATGTACTTACGGCACCTACCATGGAGGGCTATATCTTTACTTCATACCAATTATTTTAAACATATTCAGGGGAGCGATACAGGCCCTCTGGGCTTCTTGTTTTATATTACACCGTAATAATGGAAGTCATGTAATTTTATTTTTTGTAAGAGGCGTTATAACGTTGTGCTCATTTGGTTAATAAGGTTCGACAAATTTATTTAGATGGCTTTTATTCAAATTACAGTATATCTGTATCGCATATGATTGAAGAAGGCGTCGTACATATAGGTTGTAGCCAAGGCCTTGTGCCACACTAAGGTATGCTAGAGTGTTTGTATGTAAAAGTATATATGTCGCTAGACTGCTATCTGTGAATTAAATATATTGTCCAGTAACTTTGTGGTAGTCAAATCTTCAGTTTGATTGTACATTGTATTTCGTAAAAGTTGTATTTACTAGAAGTTATGTAATCATGTAATAGTTAATTCCCATGCATTTGTAAATGTTTAAAATGGCAGGCATGGAAGTAACGAGAGACTCGCCTGTACTACACGTTGTAGATATAGGATTCCATCACAAGAAAGGCTGCCATGTACACGGCTCAAACATGAGTAGCTTGGGGATCCCACGCCAGTCACTGCTGTAACGGCTTCCTAGGGAATCACGCATTTTTACGTCAAAATTATCACAGGTATGTAGTTTGCTATAGGTACTTGCATTGACTGCAACAATTCCGTCTTTTCGTATTGCAGAGTTATCTTCTCTTGTGAGCAGGCATTGATTGTAACGTCATTGGTTAGTGTGAAAAAATTACGTCGTTTTCTCAAAAATTGATACCGTTACTCTCACAAACCAATGACGTAACAATCAATACCTGCTCACAAGAGAAGATAACTCTGCAATATGCAAAGTCGGAATAGCATGTCTACAAATATCAGCATTCATTGTTTCCAATGGGCAAATCAGAACAAAGCTTCATTTTTTGTAATTACAGTTTATCCAATAATTTTTCAAGAATGCAATAGTAACTCATTTGCTATAGTACCACTAGATATAACAATTAGAGCCATATAACGGGGAAAAGATACTCAACACGGGTGATCACTGATGGCCATATGCGGCGTAAACTGGCTTTGCTGCATACAACCGGTGGTCACCAGAGCATGACTGAAAAGTTGTGATTAAAATAAACAAAAAAAAAGTTAGCAGTAAAATAAAAGTGGAACTGGAAGGAGTAAAACAAAACATCAGGGCGTAATTTCTAAAACTTTTCAGGGGTAAATTAACTTTCTCATGAGTAAAATAATAAACACAAATATATACGTACATGTACTGTACCGTCTAGGTAATAAAAATACTCCTTTCCGTGGTCTTAGATCTACGTACACATAAAATGTTTACTTATGAGTCATTTTATGTTTTGATTTTCTTTTGAAAATTATTCATCAAAGCGAAAAATCCATCGCTTGCTCACAGTTTTAGATAGCGGTACAAGGATCTTTAAAAGCCAGACGTCATATTTTCTGTTATCTGGCCAATCACAGTGAGGTTACTGTACACGGCACGGCACGTTAAAATTTCGGATCGTCTCTCTATTTATTATTTGATTTAAAGATGGTATCAGAGAGTCACACATGTAGTTTGTCCCGGAAGTTCGCCCATCGGTTCTGCGGCAGACGATGATGACATTTGGTTTACAAACTAGAAATATCATGGTGTAAACCAAAGCGATGTGAGGAGATGGCAGGCATGGAAGTAACGAGGGACTCGCCTGTACTACACGTTGTAGTTATAGGATTCCATCACAAGAAAGGCTGCCAGGTACACGGCTCAAACATGAGTAGCTTGGGGATCCCACGCCAGTCACTACTGTAACGGCTTCCTAGGGAATCACGCATTTTTACGTCTAAATTTCACGATGAGACAATTCTGTTTCATCGAAGAAACCCGAAAGCATCATGCAAATCAATACTGTAACTATTGGTTGAAGCGGAAATACAACTCAAAAGACACCTGGCTCCGAATAACTGGATTGACTGATTTACATATAACGAACCAAATAAGAAGTTATAATGTCCAACCACAGGGGTTCGTTGCAAATATCTAATACACATATGTGTGCTGTGATCCATATCAGTACAGCATATGTGTATTAGACATTTGTAACGAACCCCTGTGGTCCAACTAGGAAGTGAACAATCAAGTCAAGCTCAGGATCCGTCTGATTATAATACCACAGAATTATCTAAGTCCGTGATAATACACTTGTTGAGGTTGTCTATAATATCGTCTAGTCATCATCAGTTTCTGTGCGTTATGTATTTCCGCGCAGCCATTTTATCAAGCTATATCTTATAACTACATGACCTGCTGGACCACAGGAGTCTGACGTTTAATTAATATATCTATAATAGTCTTTATATAAAAAAAAAGTTTTTTTATAGTATACAGGGTATTTTTTATATATAAAGACTATTATACATATATCATTAAACGTCAGACTACTGTGGCTGGACACAGCACAAGGATATGTTAGAGGTTTGGCCATCGGCTGTAAACTGACACAAACTAATAATTACTGCACGTTTGTTCGGAAAACATAAGAAATAATCACAGATTAAGAAAACATGCATAAATATGCAGTTTTGCTTAATGCACTTTTATCTTGCTCAAAATGAGCCCATAACTGAAAAACTGGTGATACATTTCATTCATGAACTGGTCTTTTTTGAAGTCTGACAAATGTACGAAAATGTTGTATGCAAATGAGTCCGTATCTCCTCGCCAATTTATTTCCACTAACGAAGAGCCAAGGAGACATTCTTATTTCGATAAACAGTGTTTTCAATGAAACGTAAACCTTGTAATGCAATGAACTTCCAATTTTCACCAATTTTAAACAGAACAAAATGAGTAATAACTGAACATCAACCAAAACCAATATAAAACTGCAGATTTTTTTTTCACAGATTCAATATTTATAATATTATAACTAAATAAATATAATAAATAAATTTTAAAATATTACATGAATTCGTTGACTCTCACACACATGGTTAACCTTATTTACTTTCACACACATGGTTAACCGTATTGACTCACACACATGGGTGACCGCATTTACTGTCACACACATGGTTAACCATATTCACTGTCACACACATGGTTAATCGTATTCACTGTCACACACATGGTTAACCATATTGACTCTCACACACATGGTTGACCGTATTCACTCTCACACACATGGTTAAACGTATTGACCGTCACACACATGGTTAACCCTATTGACTGTCACACACATGGTTAATCGCATTCACTGTCACACACATGGTTAACCATATTGACTCTCACACACATGGTTAACCGTATTCACTCTCACACACATGGTTAAACGTATTGACCGTCACACACATGGTTAACCATATTGACCGTCACACACATGGTTAACCATATTGACTCTCACACACAAGGTTAACCGTATTCACTCTCACACACATGGTTAAACGTATTGACCGTCACACACATGGTTAACCATATTGACTGTCACACACATAGTTAACCATATTGACTGTCACGCACATGGTTAACCATATTGACTCTCACACACATGGTTAACCGTATTCACTCTCACACACATGGTTAAACGTATTGACCGTCACACACATGGTTAACCATATTGACCGTCACACACATGGTTAACCCTATTGACTGTCACACACATGGTTAATCGTATTCACTGTCACACACATGGTTAACCATATTCACTGTCACACTCGTGGTTTACTGTATTGACTCTCACACACATGGTTAACCGTATTGACTCACACACATGGTTAACCGTATTGACTCCCACACATGGTTAACCGTATTGACTGTCCCACACATGGTTAACCATATTGACCGTCACACACATGGTTAACCCTATTGACTGTCACACACATGGTTAATCGAATTCACTGTCACACACATGGTTAACCATATTGACCGTCACACACATGGTTAACCGTATTGACTGTTACACACATAGTTAACCATATTGACTGTCACGCACATGGTTAACCTTACTTACTTTCACACATGGTTAACCATATTCACTGTCACACACATGGTTAATCGTATTCACTGTCACACACATGGTTAACCTTATTCACTGTCACACTCGTGGTTTACTGTATTGACTCTCACACATGGTTAACCGTATTGACTCACACACATGGTTAACCGTATTGACTCATACACATGGTTAACCATATTCACTGTCACACACATGGTTAGCCGTATTCACTGTCACACACATGGTTAACCATATTGACTCTCACACACATGGTTAACCATATTCACTGTCACACACATGGTTAACCGTATTGACTCTCACACACATGGTTAACCATATTTACTGTTTCACTGCACAGGTTGAGTTTTCCTACCCACCACTGATTGCGGGAAATGAGGTTGATAGTCATGAGGTACCAGAAGTGTGGAAACACCTGCCATCCCTGGCTATACCTGATGGCGCTCATAACTTCACACAAGGTATGGTTATCTTATTCAAGCCGATTATGTTAAAATTAAACTGGACATTTTCAGGAAAATAATTTTCTATATATTTTTCTCAATATTAAGTATCATATTTTTCTTCTAATCAGGTAACAAAGCTGCTATAGCATGAAAGATTTGAAAACATCCTCTTAATATTGTGACCATTAATTTTATTTGTCTAATTATTATATTTAGAAATATTGTGGAGAAATATTCAACATCAATTAAGTACAAAAGATATGCATGGGTTTAAATGTATGCTCTGTCAGAAATCAGTACAGGATATTATAAGTGTTGCCCTTGTCTGTATTTAAGTATGTCTGGCCAGCTGGTGAAGTTTTCTTGTTTTGGACTACAACAAGAGTCATGCAACCTCACATGCCTATGTGCCTTGATGAGTACAACATATCTCAAGACATTCTGTGACCTTTGCTTTTGACCATGACCTGTGACCTAGCTAGGCTAATGTTTTGCTTTTAGGTTAGTTATAGACGAGGTACTGGAGCTAGTTAGGGTCATGCAACATCACATGAATATATAGATATGCTCTATACTTACAGCATGTTGCATAACTTTTTATAACCTTTAGCTTTGACCCTGACCCCTGTGACTGACATTGCCATAGTTCTTATTCATAAATATATTAAATCTATTTAGTTTACATGAACTATTAATCAATTTAGTGCAACTTGCATTAATCACAATCACTCTTGTTGACCTGGATGTTAGCCTGGAGAAAGTTTTCTGATTTTTGACAAAAAATCTTGCTATGTTCATTTTGATAGCTAATTTATCAATTAAAAACATGTTAATCTTTAACATTAAATATATTATTCTGGATTCATGGGTATTATTGGGATAATCCGTTGTCATATTATGATTAAATTAGCTAATCTGAAGTAATTCAAGGGAGATAACATGTATGAACAAGCACAGTTGTAAGTGTGATTAGATTAAAAAGTTTTTATCCTTACTTTAGGCCTTTTATATACTTTGTATTACATTTAGTTATAAATTTATATATAAGCTTTTGTTGTTCCTTTCATGAATAAAACAATTATGTGAAAAGGATGTTTGAAGCATTTGTGATTTGTTTTGAGCGATATATAGTTTTATGTAAGTTTTTTATTTTTTAGACACAATATTTTTCCACCTGCCGTCACGTGATGGGAACTGCACTACTGTGTACGGAGTAGCTTGTTACAGACAGATGGACGCCTGTGTAAGTGTATTACATGGAATAGCCATTAATCTTCAATGTTTTGTTTTGATTACAATTTTATAAGAACTTGCAGATGCTGGATTGGATAACAGTTTAACTTTCTCAAATACTTCAGGGCTGTGTACCACTGTTATTATGGAATACTTGACAAAAATGTCAGTCTGGAATAGTGTAATTGGTGCAATTCATTTTGATTGACTGATCTTATAAAATATAGACATTAATAATGCCAGACCTAATTAGAATAATTAAATTATCATTGCATTGCCATTAACATTTCTGTGCAATCTTCTATAACACTCTGACAATGTTTTGCAAATCACTAGACTTCCTTGCCCATACTCAGTATTAGGAAAAGTATTACATGTAGTAGGGCAGGGCTAGTAGAATATTTCAAAAGCTGCCTGCAGGCTAGTACTTGAAATAAGTATGAAATTGTACCACCTGCCTTACAAGACCAAGTACATTGCTTAGGGTGTTATGCACCCATTTAAGTTGCTTTAATTTCAATGTTGAGAGAGCCGTTGAGAATCCTAGCTGTCTTCATATTAATGATCTAGCTGCTGTGAGGTTGTTAAACCCCAAACAAAGAAAACCTAAAAAAAATATTCCTGTTCCCTTTTAAATCTTATCTCACAGGCTGTTTAATAAGCATATCTCACAGGCTGTTTAATAAGCATAATTATATTTGTGCCTTTCATCTGTGGTTATACGGTGTTGCAGATTATTATTGCAAAATTTGTCTTTTCACACAGGATTTGGTAAATAAGACAGCGGATGTGACAAGAAGCACTGTACAGAAAAGTGTGTGTGTTCTCAGTCGTCTGGTAAGTGATACAATGTGCTACAGGGTCAATTGTGAAAGATGGTTATTTCAATACAGCTATAGTCAAAGTATGCTTGTCTTTTACTGAAATTGAGAATATCTTCCTCATGATTTGGTCATTTTGGGAAAATATGGCACTTTTTAGCTAGGGGAATTAAACAGTCTGTATTCCGCTGTAAAACTGAGCAAAATAATTTACTGTATCGCTACATTGTCTACATTGTATTCACCAGTTTAAACCCAAATATTGTTAAATTTTCCTCTTCTTACTATATTGTTGAGGGGATATAGTGTTAAATCTGTGTGACGTATGTGTATGTACGTGTTTACTCTAATCTTTCCTCTGTTGACTTTGTTAACAGATTTTCATGAAACTTTATACATGAATAAAAATAAAGAGTACCATATGGTTAAACAGTTTTGTTACCATTGTCACTCTAATTTTTATGAAATTTTTGTTTATGAAAGTCCTTTTCTACAGAATTGTTCCATATTAACCACATCTCTCAATGCATTTTACAGAATCATTGTAATGAAATTTAGTATTTGTGACTGATGAAGACTTTGACCTATTGATATATTCCTATCTCCATTTACAGCCTCTGTTTGGATTGGTGAAGGCCAAGTTGGAACTAATCACACATGCCTACTTTGAGGAGCGAGACTTCACCAAGGTGGGCTTATTGGAGGAGACGTATCGTAACCTTACAATGTCCGTCACCGAGGGGGTGAGAGACGGGTCACGAGTCTTCATGGGTAGGTGTTTTCAAGTTTTTTACTGTAAGATGTTAGAGAAATAGAAGAATTGTAAATTTGTGCACAATATGACACTTAACTTGTTGCCAAGCATCTTTTTTCCTTTAAAAATGATTGAAAATTCTTAGAATATTAATATAAACTTTAATCATTAATATAAACCTTAACAAGTCCTTGCGAAGGAAAATATAGAATGAAATCATAGATCTGTCGGATCTTCCGCTAGGCCTTTCTGCCTCTAGTGCTTCTTCAGGTGGATAACAGCAAAGTACGGGTTACAAAAGGAAGGTCACAGCCTGAAGAAGCCCTAGAGGACAGAAAGGCCCGACAGACTTATGATTTTTTTTCTATATAAACCATATATATTTCAAAGAATTGTGAAGCATGTTATATCTACTTATATGAATCGCTTCTGATGGCCTGGATGTTAGCACGCTGGGGTGTTTAATGTTGAAGTATCTGGAGCAAACCCACATGGTTGGGCAGGTAACCCTTACCTTTTCACGTCCAAACGGGAAATCAAACTTTTTGAGAGAAAAAAATGATTGTCGATCCTCTATAATGGTCCTGAACGAATCATCTCTTGTCAATTCTTGACAATATCTCCAGATTGTTATCAGATTGCTCCAGAATTACCTCTTGTCAATTCTTGACAATATCTCCAGATTGTGCTAATTATACCCACGCAACGAAGTTAAATACTGGAATCACCCTGTCTGGATGTCTGTCGACGCAGTAACTAATCCGGAAAACTCCTCATTAACTAACAGGTGGATTTCATTGAAACTTTGCATGAATGATCGGTATCTTATGTAGTTGTACACCAGCATTTTAATTTGGGATTTTGACCCTTTTTGATGGAGTTATGCCCCTTTGTGCTAAATACTTGTCTGTGCAACTCCTCATCAACTAACAGGTGGATTTCATTGAAACTTTGCATGAATGATCGGTATCTTATGTAGTTGTACACCAGCATTTTAATTTGGGATTTCATCCTTTTTTGATGGAGTTATGCCCCTTTGTGCGAAATACTTGTTTCTGGTGGTGGACCATATTGCTTTGCCTTAGAAAACCTTTAGCTTACATGTCTGGTTTATAGGAGCGGGGGTATTAGTTAGCCTTTAGCTTACAGTTCTAGTTCTGGTTTTTTCTTTGAGTTCACTGTTGGTAATGAAATTAATTAAAAATAACATCCCTTGTTTCAATATTGAAATGAGAGCAGAGAATGTTATTTATCCAGTATCAAACAAATAGTGAACTTTCCATAACACCTGGTTTCACAGAAAAATTAACAAATTTATGAGGGTAAGGTCATTTACTGAAGGCTGATTATGATGCTGAACCTGACTTAAAATGTTTTATTTTCATTGTAGGTATGTCAGTGAGGGATGTTGTGTGCCAGTTTAGACACAAAATTGTCCTGTTGTTCAAACTTATCCTACTAGAACGCAGGGTAAGTATAGTTTTAAACATATTTTTTTTTTGCACAACAGCATAAACATGTTAAAAGAGGAAGATTACAGCATAGTAGGGGTCATGAAAGGAATATCACAGCATAGTAGGGTCATGAAAGGAAGATATAACAGCATAGTAGGGGTCATGAAAGGAAGATCACAGCATATATAGTAGGGGTAATGAAAGGAAGGTATACCAGCATAGTAGGGGTCATGAAAGGAAGATCACAGCGTATATAGTAGGGGTAATGAAAGGAAGGTATAACAGCATAGTAGGGGTCATGAAAGGAAGATCACAGCATAGTAGGGGTCATGAAAGGAAGATCACAGCATAGTAGGGGTAATGAAAGGAAGGTATAACAGCATAGTAGGGGTCTACTCCAACAATGTTAGAGGTTTTACACGGCGAAAAACTTTGACAGGCGCCGCGTAACCTCTAACTGCCCATAGCTGATTTTCCCGATGCTGACTATCACATTTTCAAAGTTCGGATTAAGAAAGAGTATATCGTGTTTACATACATTTAAATGGTCAAAAGGGTCCAATAAATATTCCTTTCCATAAATCCATGATTATATGAGAAAAATTTCATGTCAAAGACATAAATAATGAGTTTTTCCTCATTCAAAGCGAAGCAGACAGCTTTTGCCATGATTTTTCCGGTTAATACAAAAATGGATTACATGTAATGTTTCACAAGCGGAATACAAACAAACTCCGTATCATTTCGTTCCGTTTGAAATCCCCCCTGATATTTTGTATTAATCCAGAAGCCATGTTTTAAATGTAGGTCAGAGATGTGCTACAACGACATGGACATGTATTTTGAGTGTTCTATTCCGTAATATACTATATATTTGTGTCTGTGACATATATATAAGATCTATATTATATAAACCGTGAGTAGACATCGTTGTCATGAACTGTTAACCACTTATGCGAGTTTTTCAAGACGATTTTGTTCCGCCCGAAACTGCATCAAAGAATTAGTGCTTCGGAAATGAGAGGTCGCAGTCGGCAAAATCATATCCGATTGAAAAAAGGCCGACCAGCGGCCTCTCATGTTATGGGAGTAAGTAGGGGTCATGAAAGGAAGATCACAGCGTAGAAGGGTTATGAAAGGAAGGTATACCAGCATAGTAGGGGTCATGAAAGGAAGATCATAGCATAGTAGGGGTCATGAAAGGAAGATCACAGCATAGTAGGGGTAAGAAAGGAAGGTATAACAGCATAGTAGGGGTTATTAAAGAAAGATATAACAGCATAGTAGGGGTCATGAAAGGAAGATCACAGCATATATAGTAGGGGTAATGAAAGGAAGGTATTCCAGCATAGTAGGGGTCATGAAAGGAACATCACAGCGTAGTAGGGGTCATGTAAGGAAGATCACAGCATAGTAGGGGTAATGAAAGGAAGGTATAACAGCATAGTACGGGTTACAAAAGGAAGGTAACAGCATAGAAGGGGTTATGAATGGAAGGTATAACAGCATAGTAGGGTTATGAATGGAAGGTATAACAGCATAGTAGGGTTATGAAAGGATAGTTTAACAGCATAGTAGGGTTATGGAAGGATGGTTTAACAGCATAGTAGGGGTTACAAAAGGAAGGTAACAGCATAGAAGGGGTAATGGGTGGAAAGTATAACAGCATAGTAGGGTTATGAAAGGATGGTTTAACAGCATAGTAGGATTATGGAAGTATGGTTTAACAGCATAGTAGGGGTCATGAAAGGAAGATCACAGCATAGTAGGGGTAATGAAAGGAAGGTATAACAGCGTAGTAGGGGTTATCAGCTCACCTGGCACGAAGTGCCAAGTGAGCTTATGCCGTGGCGCGTCGTCCGTCCGTCCGGCGTCAATATTTTACTTTAAAAGACTTCTTCTTAATAACCGAAAGGCCTAGGGTGTCAATATTTGGCCAGAAGCAAACTTGGATGAAGGGCTACAAAGTTTGTTCAAATAAATGACCTTCACCTATTTTCAAGGTCACAGGGGTCAAATATGTCAAAAACTTTAAACATCTTCTTCTCAATAACCAAAATGCCCAGGGAGATGATATTTGGCCAGTAATATGCTTGGGTGAAAGGCTACCAAGTTTGTTCAAATGAATGACCTTCAATTATATTCAAGGTCACAGGGGTCAATTGTATTAAAAAACCTTTAAACAACTTCTTCTGAATAACCAAAATGCTCAGGGTGATGATATTTAGCCAGTAGCATGCTGAGATGAAGTGCTACAAAGTTTGTTCAAATGAATGACCTTCATCCTTATTCAAGGTCACAGGGGTCAAATATGTTAAAAACTTTAAACAACTTCTTCTCAATAACCAAAATGCCCTGGGTGATGATATTTGGCCAGTAGCAAGCTGAGATGAAGGGCTACAAAGTTTGTTCAAACAAATGACCTTCACCCATATTCAAGGTCACAGGGGTCAAATATGTTTAACACTTTAAACAACTTCTACTGAATAACCAAAATGCCCAGGGTGATGATATTTGGCCAGTAGCTAGATGAGATGAAGGGCTACAAAGTGTGTTCAAATGAATGACCTTCACCATATTCAAGATCACAGGGGTCAAATATGTTTAAAAACTTTAAACAACCTCTTCTGAATAACCAAAATGCCCAGGGTAATGATATTTGGCCAGTAAGGTATAACAGCATAGTACGGGTTACAAAAGGAAGGTAACAGCATAGAAAGGGTTATGGAAGGAAGGTATAACATAACAGCATAGTAGGGTTATGAAAGGATGGTTTAACAGCATAGTAGGGTTATGAAAGGATGGTTTAACAGTATAGTAGGATTATGGAAGTATGGTTTAACAGCATGGTAGGGGTCATGAAAGGAAGATCACAGCATAGTAGGGGGAATGAAAGGAAGGTATAACAGCATAGTAGGGGTCATGAAAGGAAGATATGGAAGGTATAACAGCATAGTAGGGTTATGAATGGAAGGTATAACAGCATAGTAGGGTTATGAAAGGATAGTTTAACAGCATAGTAGGGTTATGGAAGGATGGTTTAACAGCATAGTAGGGGTTACAAAAGGAAGGTAACAGCTTAGAAGGGGTAATGGGTGGAAAGTATAACAGCATAGTAGGGGTATGAAAGGATGGTTTAACAGCATAGTAGGGTTATGAAAGGATTGTTTAACAGCATAGTAGGATTATGGAAGTATGGTTTAACAGCATGGTAGGGGTCATGAAAGGAAGATCACAGCATATATAGTAGGGGTAATGAAAGGAAGGTATAACAGCGTAGTAGGGGTTATCAGCTCACCTGGCACGAAGTGCCAAGTGAGCTTATGCCGTGGCGCGTCGTCCGTCCGTCCGGCGTCAATATTTTACTTTAAAAGACTTCTTCTTAATAACCGAAAGGCCTAGGGTGTCAATATTTGGCCAGAAGCAAACTTGGATGAAGGGCTACAAAGTTTGTTCAAATAAATGACCTTCACCTATTTTCAAGGTCACAGGGGTCAAATATGTCAAAAACTTTAAACATCTTCTTCTCAATAACCAAAATGCCCAGGGAGATGATATTTGGCCAGTAATATGCTTGGGTGAAAGGCTACCAAGTTTGTTCAAATGAATGACCTTCAATTATATTCAAGGTCACAGGGGTCAATTGTATTAAAAAACCTTTAAACAACTTCTTCTGAATAACCAAAATGCCCAGGGTAATGATATTTGGCCAGTAGCATGCTGAGATAAAGGGCTACCAAGTTTGTTCAACATATATAGTAGGGGTAATGAAAGGAAGGTATAACAGCATAGTAGGGGTTATTAAAGGAAGGTATAACAGCATAGTAGGGGTTATGAAAGGAATGTGATACAGCATAGTAGGGGTTACAAAAGGAAGGTAACAGCATAGAAGGGGTTATGGAAGGAAGGTATAACAGCATAGTAGGGGTTATGAAAGGAACATCACAGCGTAGTAGGGGTTATGAAAGGAAGAAATAACAGCATAGTAGGGGTCATGAAAGGAAGGTATAACAGCATAGTAGGGGTTATTAAAGGAAGGTATAACAGCATAGTAGGGGTTATGAAAGGAATGTATAACAGCATAGTACGGGTTACAAAAGGAAGGTAACAGCATAGAAAGGGTTATGGAAGGAAGGTATAACAGCATAGTTAGGGTAATGAAATGAACATCACAGCGTAGTAGGGGTAATGAAAGGAAGAAATAACAGAATAGTAGGGGTCATGAAAGGAAGGTATAACAGCATAGTAGGGGTCATGAAAGGAACATCACAGCATAGTAGGGGTAATGAAAGGAAGAAATAACAGCATAGTAGGGGTTATGAAAGGAAGGTATAACAGCATAGTAAGGGTTATGAAAGGAATGTATAACAGCATAGTATGGGTTACAAAAGGAAGGTAACAGTATAGAAAGGGTAATGGAAGGAAGGTATAACAGCATAGTTAGGGTAATGAAATGAAGGTATAACAGCAAAGTAGGGGTCATGAAAGGAAGGTATAACAGCATAGTAGGGGTTATGAAAGAGAGGTATAACAGCATAGTAGGGTTATGAAAGGAAGGTTTAACAGCATAGTAGGGGTTATAAAAGGAAGGTATAACAGCATAGAAGGGGGTATGAAAGGAAGGTTTAACATCGTAGTAGGGGTAATGAAAGGATGGTATAACAGCATGGTAGGGGTTACGAAAGGAATGTATAACAGCATAGTAGGGGTTATGAGAGGAAGGTATAACAGCATAGTAGGGGTCATGAAAGGAACATCACAGCATAGGAGGGGTAATGAAAGGAAGAAATAACAGCATAGTAGGGGTTATGAGAGGAAGGTATAACAGCATAGTAGGGGTTATGAAAGAGAGGTATAACAGCATAGTAGGGTTATGAAAGGATGGCTTAACAGCATAGTAGGGTAATGAAAGGAGAAAGTTGAATACTGAACAGCATAAGAAAGGAAGATCACAGCATATATAGTAGGGGTAATGAAAGGAAGGTATAACAGCTTAGTAGGGGGATTGAAAGGAACGTATAACAGCATAGTTAGGGTAATGAAATGAAGGTTTAACAGCAAAGTAGGGGTCATGAAAGGAAGGTATAACAGCATAGTAGGGGTCATGAAAGGAAGGTATAACAGCATAGTAGGGGTTATGAAAGAGAGGTATAACAGCATAGTAGGGTTATGAAAGGATGGTTTAACAGCATAGTAGGGGTTACAAAAGGAAGGTAACAGCATAGAAAGGGTAATGGATGGAAAGTATAACAGTATAGTAGGGTTATGAAAGGATGGTTTAACAGCATAGTAGGGTTATGAAAGGATGGTTTAACAGCATAGTAGGGTAATGAAAGGAGAAAGTTGAATACTGAACAGCATAAGTATATTTATGTCTGTAGAATATGATTGAGCAAATCTGACCTGACTATGCTATGAGCAATTCTTAAACTTTATATAAAGTATATAAATGAGAATATAAATTATTTTTTTTGCACTAAGGCAAATGCTAAATAAATAAACAACTCCAAATATTTATGTTCAAAAAATATACTGTTCTTCAAAAATAATTTTAAGCAAATATACATATGTTCAGTCTTGTGTGAATTTTTCCAGAAAAAATGTTGATACATGTACCCCATCCCTCCTTATAGGGAAGCTAGTATTGTAATACATTGTGTTGAATCTTTTAGGTTCTATTCTGTGGACCCCCTGTGGAGAAACTCTGTAATACACTACTTTCAATATTCTCCTTGTTCCCAGGTAAGTACATTAATAATGTAGATATTTATCTGCATGTTAATTGTTTGGAAACAAGCAATTTTATGTTAAAGAGATGCATAAACTTTATATGTTATCATTTTTATAGAAAATATTGTTTAAACAGAGATCAAGGGTTCCCCTTTAATTTACCTTTGCATATTTATTTTTATTTTTATAAGAAGGAATATAAAAGAACAAAAAACATTTACACTAAATAGAAAAAATGGACAGTTATAGATCACCTGGCACAAAGCGTGTGTAAGCTTATGGTATGTGGTCTGTCTGTCAACTCTTTCTTTGAACAACTTCTTCTTCAGAACTGGAGGACCTAAGGTATTTGGCCAGCAAGTACCTACCTGGAATGGATTTCTATAAAAATCCAAATAAATGATTTTGACTAAATTTCATTTCAGGTCAACTATGTTATAAAACTTTGAATAACTTGTGAATAACCAAGAGGCCTAGAGTAAAGATATTTTGTTAGTACCTTGCATGCTGGTTTGCAAGATTGCTCTTTAAGATATTATCCTGTCATTATTGCTTAAATTTCCACGTCAGTGATACAGACCCCCTGGGCCTTTTGTTGTTTATAAAATTATATATCAGAGGCTATCATTAGAAACGTTAGATTGTGTTACTTTATCATAGTTAAGCCTCTTCGATGAGACAAAAATATATATCAATATATGTTTTTTGATTACAGGAATGATAGAATTCGGTTTAGAGGAAGCTACATCTATTGGCACCAGCAAGAAGTTATCTCCTACGATGAGGTCCACCCAAATTGGCAGTGACGAGGAAGAATTCTTGGAAATTCGCTATCATAGTGATAGTTCACAGCAAAGTTCCCCAAAACTTTCCCTGGACCCCGAAATACAGCTCTCTATAGACACACAGATATCCAAACTCAATGTTGAAGAACCTAATTCTCCGACAATAACAAGGGGATGTGATGAAGATTCTGGGACAAGCAATCCACTCGCAGAAAAAAGCTACGTTTCAGATTCCAAAACTTTACATTCCAGTGTATCTGATGACGAAAGCAATGTAACCAGTAGCAGTGTTTTAACTGGTGAGGATATAAGTGCAATAACACAGTTAAAGTCGGACTCTATAAAAAATAGAAATTCAAATTGTGATAAGGACAGTGAGACTCTCCCGGTGTCTAATACTACAGAGGACTGTGATATCAATGAAAAACCACGAGAATTAAATGAGCAAACAAAAAAGGATCAGAGCAATGATCTGTCCATTCCAAACAGCAATTGTGATACCAGCAGTGAACTGAATAGCGAGACAAGTTTTATACTTGGCATGAAGTCGACTGAGATTAAAGTACCCAACAGTAGATCACGTGGAAGCTCTTTCCATTCCTCATCTCCAAGTCCAGTTACTTCCCCTGGGCAAGTGGTCTTGACCGAGAACACCAACCCACTGGCTAATGTGAATTTTATCACACATATAGAGGCAGTCCAGACAGGCTACACAATCCAGAACAGCGATTCTGTCATAGACATGGAAGAGTACTCCGAAATGCTAGAGAAAATGAATTCGGAATCTACCCTGAAAAAGTCTTCAAACCCAGAGCTATCCGTAAGCTTAGAAGGTGCAAAAGAAGGACTGCTCCAACACAAACTAAGTGACAGTGTTGAGGAGCTTGATTCCCCAGAAAGTATTCAGAAGATTGATAAAGAAGATTGTTTTTCCTGGGAAGAGGATCGGTTATTTTTATCCATTGAGCATGAATTGGAGTCTAGTAACAAGGAAAGTAGTGGAGAATACTCTGATAATGTAACAGACGCTGACCAGACGGGTTTAAAGGCTGGGAAAAAAACAGTATCTAGGCAACAGAGCAAAGTTAGTGAGGACGGCAAGGCTGATATTGATACCAGTGATTTGATTGAGGTAGATCTAGTCTCATCTGAAACCAGTAGTAAAAAATCTGATGGGGATAAATCTCAAGATGACATCAGTCTGCAGGATACTGATGGAAAATTGTCTAGTCCAGGGAGTAAGGCCGCTGCCCTACGGAACAAGCTGAGCTCAGCATTTGGTACAGTGCGGGGAAAGACGTCGCGGTTGAAACGTGGCGGTAGCAGTGGACAGAGTAGCAACAACAGCCCGGGAGATGTACCAATATTAGAAATGTCAAACTCCTACCTTGCCTCAAGACTACAACAGGATGATTGTGGCTTCCCGCTCGTCATATTCTCTAAGGTAAAGTTACTCAAAATATTGACAATGGTTTCCCACTGGTCCTATTCTCTAAGGTAAAGTTCCTCCAAATATTGACAATGGTTTACCTCTGGTCATATTCTTGAAAGAGAGAATATCTTGAAAATACTGTCATGATACCCGGGGCCCCTGCTTAGTGCTATTAGGTGTGAAAATTCTCTGTATAAGACCACCTGTCTGTGATGACATCATCGCTCTACAGACTTCATTTCTTACATGATTGTCATCTATTTTATGAGTTTGCATTTCAACCTTCTTTGGTAAAAAGTGAGTCCACTATTACTTAAATAGAGTTTGGTGTTATCACTAAATGGACATGATTTCATTATCAGTTGTACATGTCAACTTCATACTGTATGCCAGGAATGTTTCGCCTAGTCAAACTTTCGCCCTACGCTGGTGGAATCTGTATTCGCCGAGTGTTAATTTCTCCCTTCACATTCGATTGATATGTTTATTATGTTGGCTATTCATGTCGGCGCTTACGATAAATTCACCCTCATTACCAAAGGCAGAAGTTAAACTGCGGCGAAAAGTTACCGGTAAGCAGTATATGTTTTCACAAGTATCCCCTCTTAGACAAGTTAGTATTTTGAAATCTATACCTTTGGTAATCACAATGAATTATAGTTCTGTTTGCTCCCTATATGAACATTGACTGACCTTTTATCAATCAGAGGTCAACAGGACAGGTCATTGTAGTCTTTCCGTAATTATCCTGCAATAATCCCAGGGGTCAACACATACTTTCTAATTAAGAGTTGGGGGCTGGGCTCATTAAAAGACAATGAAACAGCATTTGTTGGCATTTCTGCTGACCTGTAATATATATATGGATAAGCTTATTACCAGGCATGGGCTTATAGTCGGAAAAATACGGTAATATACATTAGTTATAATTACCCAGTATTCTATGCCAGGAATTTTTTGCCACAGGTTAATTTTTCACCTTTTTGGCCCTTCATAATGAAAGCGAATTTATCATTACAGAATATAATTGAACAACATAATACACATAGTAATTAAATGTGAAGGGTAAAGTACAGTACAATCCCAAACCTGGTGTACAGTACAATCCCAAATCTAGTATACAGTACAATCCCAAACCTGGTATACAGTACAATCCCAGACCTAGTATACAGTATACGTACAATCCCAAACCTAGGACACAGTACAATCCCAAACCCGGTATACAGTACAATCCCAAACCTAGTATATAGTACAATCCCAAACCTAGTATACAGTACAATCCCAAACCTAGTATACAGTACAATCCCAAATGTGGTATACAGTACAATCCCAAACCTAGTACATACAATCCCAAACCTGGTATACAGTACAATCCCAAACCTAGTATACAGTATACGTACAATCCCAAACCTAGTACACAGTACAATCCCAAACCCGGTATACAGTACAATCCCAAACCTAGTATACAGTACAATCCCAAACCTGGTATACAGTACAATCTGAAACCTAGTATACAGTACAATCCCAAACCTGGTATGTACATTACAATCCCAAACCTGGTATACAGTACAATCCCAAACCTAGTACATACAATCCCAAACCTGGTATACAGTACAATCCCAAACCTGGTATACAGTACAATCCCAAACCTGGTATTCAATACAATCCCAAAGAGTCCTAGAACCTATCACTATCATAGGAACACTAGATAAGTGTTGACATAAATAGTATATTCTGTTGATGTAATTAACTGCTTTATCTAATTTTGAGAGTCAGGTGTCAATATGGGACTTGACTTACATGTACATGTATCGTTTCAAATAGTGTATGTGATGTTTCAGGGTAATGTGTGTCACCCGTACCTGTCGCTACAATACTACGACCTAATGCAGGATGTCAACATACGAGCCTTCGTTATTGGGGCCACTAATATGTTGTTTAAACAGAAGCGACATCTCACCGACGTGGTCATTGATGTAAGTGTCTGTGTGAACATTGCCGTACATGTTTGTAGCAAGTCATGTGTGTTTGTTTCTGGGTTTTATGTCTTCACATCAGCTATATGTCTATATGGCGATGGTGCCCACTGATGATGAGATTACTCAAGGGCCGTTGTAAAGTACCATTACACAGAGATAACCGGGATACTGAAGCACGACACGTACTCACCTGAACACATCATTCTGACAGCAAGTTAACCTTGGGAGACACCAATGAAAGGACGAGTTGTTAACAAAGGAAAAGTCCAGATTGTTGTGAAGGGGGCAGTGGATAAATTTGAATTTCTTCTAAATCTTCTGTTAGAAGACACAGAAGAAAATGTTGATACTGTAGCTTGCTTGATGTGATAATTTCCAAAGAAATTTTTAATTTATCATTGAACTTGAACTAATGTTCACTTTTCTTATTTTCTATATAAAATCATTATAAATATACTGAATTCCTAAGAATGCAATATAATGTGATACCGTACATAAATTACAATATTTCCTTAGCATTGCCATATATTGCAGTATGAAAATTCCTTCTTGATAGTCATCAGTCTAAACTAAATATATACATATATGTATACGAAAGGCAGCAAATTCAGATTTATTTTTTGTTTATCGTTTTTTTGTCAGTAATTTGTGAATTTTAACAGATGTGTGAAATTATCAAGTAATCCTGACGAAAGTATCTGCTTATTTGACAGACAACGGAGGGTCATGTGGATATCCATGATAAAGAACTACAGAAGGTCCTGAGCTTGACCACTGCTGACCTACGGTTTGCAGACATTGTTGTGAAGGCTGTTATTGAAGATGACGAAGAGGGTGCCTACTTTGATGGGACAGGTATACTGGTTAAATATGATATCAACATTTTTTTGCCAAAACTTTATTGTTTCTTTAACACTAGGGTCGCGGTGGCCAAGTAGTTAAGGCGTCTAACTGTCTAAGGTACTAGCCACAGGTCGGTGGTTATTCTCGGGGTACTCAGTTTTCCCTCGTCACTGAAACCTGGCTTGTCCTTAAAAGACCATAGGACGTAAAGTGCAAACAGACAGACTGAACCAAATGTTTCTTTGCTGCTTTCCTATAGATTTACCATAACATTACAGGCCATGTTCAGTGGAATGTTTGGTATAAGGGTTTTGAAATATTCATATCGTGAATCTTGTTTGTTCAGTCAACTTCATTCCAAGTACATGTAGCTTAAGTGCTTTAAAAAGATTTTTTTGAATAATATATAATTGTATAATATAAAGAAAACTAATTTGTATTATACATGTAATTATTTACCAAAAAACATACAGAGAAATACATGTACATCTTGGTAATTTGAGTTATAAATGCATGTAAGATATATTCAAAAGTACTGTGATCTTTGTTAAATATTATATATGTTTTGTCGCAAGAATAGCACTACAGTGCTAATGTTATTATGTTACATGTATATGCGACATTAAATAAAGCTTCTTGACTCTTGAAGATGTAAGATAGCTTTGTACTTGAAAAGAAATGAATGGAAAGGAATTCGACACTGGCCAAATTTCTTTCCAAAAAACACCTACTAGGCTAGAAGCAAAAATGTGACGGGATACAAATATTACAGTTTACAGTCACTGGATTGTGCAATTTTCAATTATTGGGACAGTTTCAAAAGAAAATGGAAAATCTTTATACCCAACTGGCTTGAAAGTGGAATTAGTATAATATTTCACCCCCTTGGGAGTGAGAAAGAGGATCTCAACCTAAGGGAAAAGATTCTTAAGTTGCCAAATATGAGGCTTGCTGAATATTTAGCAGCTAAATCGTTCTCTGTGGTTTGAGATTCCCAAATTTCATCCTCGAAGAGGTGAATGATTCCTTTTCTTTTATGTTGTTGGTCAATGCCATATTGATATTTCGGTTCAATACACTGGTGATGTGGCATTTATAGATTGTTGACATGACATCATACAGTTATTGTGACTTGGATATCCCTTCTGACATCACAATCATAGGATGAGACAAGGATTTCTCCCCCATTAGACAAAGATATCCACACTTCTGGTAAAGGAAAGATATTTCTGTGTTATCCTAGTGTACTGACAAAGGATTTCCTTGTCATAACAATTGCATTAAATCAGGTTAACAATGCATTGTCATCAGGTCAACAATGCACTGACGTTATGTCAACAATAGCAGATCAAGGAAGATAACTCTGATCTGCTGGAAATTATTAAATAACTTTTGCATTTCATGAAGTTACCACTTATATTTGATTGGGGAGAAAATTATCATTCCTCACTTTAGGAGTAAGACAGAAAGCCGAGGGCCAGACATTTAAAAAAGTCATTTTCCAAGGGTTGAGATTTTTCTGTCTTTCCCCCGAGGTGGGGAAAGATTATATTAATCTCACACCAGGAAAAGTTCTAGTTACATCAGTTCTGTTCAATGTATTAGAGAAAATAAATCAGTGGTGGCTTGATTACATTTCAATATATAACAGAGGTAGTAACCTCAGTAGTTGTATAGACGATGATCATGTTGTATTATGTTGTGACAGAGTGGGAGGGAGGCGACGAGTGGCTGAGAGCTCAGTTCCGGATCTATCTCCAGTCTCTACTAGTCAGCTGTAAACAGGACGGTATGTAACAGTCAGTACTTTCCTTTCAGAAAGTTAAACAGTTCTGCAAAGATATAAGTTGTTCCAAGCACTGCTTTTTAATAAGAAATCCTCTTGTTAGAATCTTTTGAATCTGGGGCTATTGCAAGAATCTGGAATAGAGCACTAAACTGAAAAATGACAAGACTGGTTAAAGTTTGTCTTGTAAATTTGTATATTTTCATTCCTTATAACGTCAGTTGGGAGAATTTGGGTGTTATATAGTGTTCCCTGTAAATTGTAACAGTTTCTTTGCTTTATAACTTCTGATCACCTACACACAAAGTAGATATGCATTTCTCCCACCTTTGACTGGATTGTCTCCCCTTAACCTGTTCAAGACTTCTCTGTCCCTCCCCAGGGTATGATTGATTGCATGCAGAAAGACACAATACTATCTGGTCATGGGAACATAAGAAATGATGGGAGAGGTCATATGCAAACTAGGATAAAAAAAGATTGCATTTGCTGAAAAGTATTGTTTTTAAAACATAGATGGGAGAAAAACAATCATCCTCTACCTTAAGGGTGTAATGCATGTAATGCAGAAATCTCTAACTTTCTGCATGCTTTTTTGGTTATCTAAGTGTCGGCGGAGCCTTGGGTTGGGTTAGTCATGACCAGGCAAAATATCACTTCATGTTCCTTTCCCAAAGGTCAAGGTTGTGGTATGAGGATCAAAGATCAAACTATCGTCTTAACTATATACTTCTGATTTGTGTTTCACAATTTCACAGGTGCATGCATCTAAGGTAGATTGCATGTCAGCTTACATTTTCAGGTCCATAAGTCAAACAACAAAGTTGTGGCAAGGGTCAAATGATTGGTCAGACTAACTTCTCATTGGTAAAATCAAACTTGAAACAACAACAGGAGTCTTATAACACTCGGATCTATGCCCTTAAGGTCAAGGTCATTGAATGTTGTGGTCAAAGGTCATAATCAGTGTAATGCTTGTTTGAACCAAAACTTTGTTGTTGTAGTGTGATACATGTAAGTAACCTCTGAAAGCAGTGAGGAGGGACAAGAGGTGGGGTATAGCTTCATAAGCCCCAGTTTGTAACTCATTTATAGCTTAGACATTTCTCTCATTGAAAGTCATTTTAAAGAGATCATGATCTATATTTATTTAAAGTTTGATTTAATTTTCCTTTCAGATGTAAAACATCAAGAGGATTTCGGTATGTCTTTTGTTCAAGCATTCAAAACAACACACAGCTACCGTGTATGGACCAGCACAGAACATGAGGGCATGAAGAATATTGCCTTAGGGTAAGGATCTACGATAATCACTTGAGCATTTCATGTCATTTCTGTATAGGAAGAGTTGCTTGTTTTTGTTTTATTGAAATGATATTTCATTAATATGGAATTGAAATTCATCAAATGATGCATAACAATTATTATATCAAGTTTGGGGTGTACATGTATAGGAATCACCCTGTCTGTCCATCTGTCCATGATCCTTGTTGTGAGCCCAACTACTTCTAAACCATTAGTTTGATTTTTTTCCTAACTTGCCACAGTGAAAGTACGCCATGTGTAGATGTACATATAGAAAGGAATTTGTGATTCAACTATTTTCCTGGAGTTATGGGCCCTTGAAACTTTAATTTCTGCTCCAGAAACAAATGTAAGCACAAGCAGGGGGTATACCATTGTGAGCTGGCTCACAGTTTCTCTAGTTATATTTTGCACAGTGCATTTCAATTATATTGCTGTCATCATTGCAGGCATCCGTACCATGGTAACCTGGGCGTGTCGGACATCAGAATGAGGCTATCACAGTAAGTTGTTATGGAATAGCTAGGCAGGTTTTCTATGCAAGCAGATGTTGCTGCAATACTGTTACATGAAGAGTAAAATCATTTGCATGATTCTTTTGACAAAACTGTTTGGAACCATGATTAGAATGGTATTTGTTGGTCCCTACTGGTACTACTGGAGAGGATTGTAGGTTCGTATTCAGTCTGTCTGTCAGTCAGCCTACAGATATCTTTATCAAACTGTCCACAGCATATCCCATTATAATTTATCACCAACAATTGCCAAATTTGGTCTTCAACATCTTCGCTTCGTATACACTCCACTTATGATTTTATTGGATGCGAGAGGTTGGGACCGCACAAAATTTTGAAGGTTCGGTAAACACGGCTATATCCGCCAAGGATAAGTGGAGTGTATACGAAGCGAACACTTGGCTAGCGAAGATGGGTCTTCAAGTACCTCTTAGGATGGCTTAATGCTTGTCCTAAATTAGGTGTGGTACCCAAACAGATTGTTGTTCCTAGGCCTTTAGATATCAAATTTCTGTCTGGAGATTGAGAACTAAGGATTGCTTGCAAAATTTAGCCTTGTTTAAAGTAGACTTTGCCATCATCCATGTATTCATATCTCTTTAAAAGAAAGTGATATTTTATCTATATAAAGGACATTAAAAAAAGGAAAGCCGGAGATTCAGATGGCATACAGTAATCATGGTGTCCTTTGATCCATCTGTAAGCCTGGGGATATCTTCGTTTCTGGAGATATCTTGGAATTCATAGTTTAAGACCAATCTTTTTGAAATTTGACATTTTACACTGTAATATGTAGATGTGTAATTGGGATTTAAAAACATTCTTTGTTCAAGGTCAATGTCACTGAAAACAGGGGAGGGGATCATTCCTTATCATGGAACCTTAAAGACTGATCTCTTTTGAATTTGATATTGTGATACACTGTGATCTGTAGATGTGCAATAGGGTTTAAAAACTTTCTAAGGTCAAGGTCACTTTTACTAAAAATAGACAATTGGGAAACAGTCAGGCACATCAGCGCCTTTGTAAATATTGAAGATGTTCACTAGCCCCAGAATGAAATCTACTAGCTGTAGGTATCAGGCTAGTGAAAGTACAATCTTCTGTATTAATGTCATATTATAAACCAGGCTTAATCTTTGGGTTTGTTAACCCTTTTCACCCCTATGTAAATTTAGTAGACTCTACCATGCATTGATCTGGATGATTTCATTATGGTCTACAGTGGTGAAAGGGTTAATAAGTATGTGTGTGATTATGATACTTGATTATGTCTTCTGTCACATACACCTAATGTCTGTACATGTTCTGTCAACAGTACAATGCAGAGTACAGAGCGAGGCAAGAAGATTAATGCTGCAGTGTCTCAGACCGGCAAATATGTCATGCAAACAGGCAAAGTTGTAGGTCAGTATATCACAGAACTGATTTTAACTACAAATAGATGATTATACCTCCTTTTTAGCCCACCATCATCAGATCTAATTCTCAGGAAGTACTTGAGCGATCGTTCTCAAATTTGATATGTAGGTTCTCCTTAGTCCTTAGTTGCTGCCTGTTTTATTTTGAGTGATGATTTAAACAAGATGACTGCAGGAAGAACTTAACAGATCTTTCCTATATTGCAATGATGCGTTCTATTTCTTTCACATTAAGTACTTTACTAGTAAATATATGAAAAGACAAACTCACTTTGAAGGTTGTCTTTTATACACAGAAGTGTGAGTTATACCTCATGGTGCATTTACTGTTTACATGGCTCGATCAAACAGATAAGAGAAAAAAAGAGAAAAGATTAAACTGAAATGGAAGTAACGAAGATGGTACAATGGTGGGCGCCAAGATCGCTCTGGGATCTCTTGTTATAAGTTTGATCACACAATGTGTATTTATCTTGTGTTGCCAATAGCACTTATATATAATTTTGACAAATACTATTACTGAAGAATTTTGTATTTCTATGTAAAACATATTAATATTGATTTAACTACACAGCTACAATGTTGTTGTACATAATCAGGCACATGATAATTTTTGTAAAACTGTTAATCTTTATTAAAATGATCTTCACAATATCAACAATGAGGTTTATTTCTTAACGCTTTATTGAAGCCCATCCTTTTGAGGGTTAGATTACACTAAATGTTAATAAATTGATCAGAGTTACGTTTAGATATGAAACATTATGATAAATACTAACAGCTCACAGCCTGCTTGTATATATGGATTATCATGTTAAAGGCATGTAAATAGCACACGGCTAACGTGTAATGGTGGTCAATATTTTGAAGGTGGCGCCCTCACTCAAGCTCGATCAGCCATGTCCTCCTGGTTCAGCAGTAAGGGCAACAAGGAACAGACCTGAACACTGATACTGGTACTGATTATGTCAGTATCACCATGGTAACAGTTTTATTCTCCTGGTACTGATTATGTCAGTATCACCATGGGTACAGTTTTATTCACCTGGTACTGATTATGTCAGTATCACCATGGGTACAGTTTTATTCACCAGGTAGTAATAATGTCAATGTCACCATGGTAACAGTTTAAACTTTTGTCAAAGAATTAACAAAGAGGGGCCGAAGATTATAGCCATTGTTATTTGTTTGTTGAGATGAATATGTGGTTTATGAACCTGCAGAAGAGTTGTTGTCCTAGATTAAATCAGGTTATTAAGGTTATTGTCACCGTTCTTGTCCAAATAACCACATATTTACTAAAATATGTCTGGGTTATTATATTAGATATAAAACTATGATGCTTTTGTTAAAGCTGACAGTGCAAGTTAAAGAATATTTTTTTTCTGGTTTTGAGATCTTCCCCAGTGACAATCTCTTCCAGCTGTCTTATCTTATTTTATCAGAACAGTTGAATACAATGGAAATGGAACTCATCAAAGACACAATTTATCTTAGAAAAGTGGAAGTAATAGTAAAACACGACCAGTTAAAATATCTAATGCACAATCCCTGCCCCAAACCCCACTAAAAATTATGGATGACTTTGACTTTGTTATTGGAGTTGATGTTTGGTGAAGTGTTTGTTGTTGACCTTGTCGTTGATTGAAGATGTCCGTTGGTAAGATGTCCTGTTGACCTTGTCGTTGATTGAAGGTGTTCGTTGGTAAGATGTCCTGTTGACCTTGTCGTTGATTGAAGATGTCCGTTGGTAAGATGTCCTGTTGACCCTGTCGTTGATTGAAGGTGTCCGTTGGTAAGATGTCCTGTTGACCTTGTCGTTGATTGAAGATGTCCGTTGGTAAGATGTTCCTTGTTATTCATGACATTGTCGTTGATAGAAGGTGTCCATTGGTAAGATGTCCTGTTGACCTTGTTGTTGATTGAAGATATCCGTTGGTAAGATGTTCCTTGTTATTCATGACATTGACATTGATAGAAGGTGTCCATTGGTAAGATGTCCTGTTGACCTTGTTGTTGATTGAAGGTGTCTGTTGGTAAGATGTTCCCTGTTGACCTTGTCGTTGACTGAAGGTGTCCGTTAGATGTTCGTTGTTGACCTTGTCGTTGATTGAAGGTGTCTGTTAGTTATGATGTTCATGGTTGATCATGACCTTGTCGTTGATTGAAGGTGTCCGTTGGTAAGATGTCCTGTTGACCTTGCCTTGGTTGAAGGTGTCCGTTGGTAAGATGTCCTGTTGACCTTGTCGTTGACTGAAGGTGTCCGTTAGATGTTCGTTGTTGACCTTGTCGTTGATTGAAGGGGTCTGTTAGATGTTCGTTGTTGGATTTGACACTGGTAGTATTACATATGTGACTCTTCCTTAAAGTTTTGAAGATTACAGTGACTTTAGTGATGTTGTAAGACCTTGTTACTTTTTTTTCTTCTCGTGATTAATATCATATTTCTACAATTAATCTGTGATGTGTTCATGTCAGTGGGAAGTCTGAATAAAAAATTGTTGTAATTATAATTGTTATGTATCGTTATAAGTATTCTGGGGTTAAGAAAGTATCCTTTGTTGATATAAAAACATCATTCTCATTTCATTTGAAACAGGTACGTTATGGAGAATTTTCATAAAGATTATTATTGTTCTCATGTTGTAGTGTTTGATTCCAAAGTGGAAACATTTTTTTTTTGAAGAATTGAAATTTTGTGTCAGTGGTGTACGCGTGTAGTATTGGTACTTTTCACTACAGCAAATCTTACTCCTGTTATTACTTTGTGGTCACTGCTGCCTGTTCATTATGTGTTCCTTCCTATTTTATTATTTCCCCCTATTCAAGAATATTTTCCATTTGTTAAGTTTACTGAGATGACGTTCAAGCGTAATGTTTGAATGTGTAAAATCAACCATGACTTCTGAATTTGTTCCAGAGCTTTCCTTCAATCACTGTTCTGTACTACAATACATTGCGAATTAATTATATTTTATGATCAACCATGTGGCATGTATAATGTCTCCTTTGTTACTTTAAGATTGAAGTAGAGATTTATAAGTAATGTATTCCTGAAGGCAAAGGCAAATATTTTTTGGTACAACTTTGTTATCTCCCCTTGTAAGACATGAGAACTATGTGCAAGCCGTCTAAACCATGATAGATGCACATCTTATTTTCGTGCATTTATAAAATTTATAAAATTTATTAATGTTTTCCCCATCAGCTAAAGGCCATACTATGATGTAGACATACCTGATGAATCACGTAGGGATTGAACAGCATGTTTTTCAATGATCATACTGGGTTGAATGGATACTCAAGTTACAGACATATTAGCCATCTTTGATACTCCAGAGATTACAGTTACTTTCGCTCTCGGCTCCCCTGGTATATGTCATAGCAAAGTATAAGGCATGCGGCTAGCTATTTGATTGATCTTGGGTTAAAAAACTGACCAATCACTAGGCTGATACCTGTCCTTTGAAGATTACTAAGGACCAACATCCAACTTCAAAGCCTTTCAAATTTTCTATTAGGCAACTGTGAGATTATGTTCAAGCACATCAAATGATTAAGCTAGGCTTCCTGTCTCATTCACAATGTAGCAAACACTGAGCCTTCAATTTTGCTATGACAAATTCCAGGGTTTCAGAGAACATAAATACATGTAGTAGCATTCTAACTTTTATAGTTATTGTTGATTTAAATACAGATATTCCCTTATGTTTTTGAAATTGAAATATCTGTGTTGTCAGTGCAAACTAGATTCCTGGAGCAGTCTTAACATCACCATAATGTTCACTTCTGACCATTGTCTCACTTAATTTGCCGTGGGATGGGAAGCTTTCAAATGACGCTGATCAAGTTGCATTCATAACCCTATGAACTTGCAGTGAATATGTGAATATAGTTGTTTGATTGTGAATGCAAGGTTTTATACCTAGGCTTATCAATCTCACATTGACTTGTTCAGGTCAGCTGTGATTTCACTTACAAAAACTGCATTAACAGGTAAACAAACTGTTCAGTTTCTTCATGTGTTAATGATATCATTGTCATATGTGACTGCTAGTTAATACAATATTAAAGTCGGGTCCAATTTTATCTACATGTGATGATAACACATTTGCATTTAAATAAACTGTTACTATCAAATTCAACACTTGCTTTCGATATTGTATTACGTAACTGTCACATGACAATGTCATTTAAAATCATTACACACCATCATTGATAGCCATCTCGGTGGTGATACTGTACTTGATTGATTGTTATTTAACTAAATATCTTTGTAGTTTACACAGATCTTTGTAAACAAAATAAATAACCTGTGAAAATACGAAAATTGACTAAAAATTGGATGCTGAACAAACAAAAAAAACAATTCAAAGATGTTAACTTATTGCTTTATTTAGGTTGGATTAAATAAAAGGTAGATTTATTGATTATAATGAATATGTCACCCTGGTAAAGTACTAGCTGCTTCCTACCAACTCAGCTAGGGAGATTTTTTTTAGTTCATTCGGTAGAGCGTAAGACTAGTAAACTAGAGGTCCCAGGTTCAACTCCTGGCAGAGGCATTGGTAAAAAATATTACCTCTGTTACACTGGAGCCCACATAGGGACTCTGGTAATATTGACAAATATACTCAGCAATACTTTCACAAGAACCACTATTTCCCCTGGAAAACACAAGAATCGCTATTTCCCCTGGAAAACTTGTGACGACCACTTTCCTAGATAACGGATTATATCAAACTAGTGAAATACCAATTGCTTCCTAACGACATGGTTAGGGAGAATTTCTCTTTAGCTCATTCGGTAGAGCTTAAGACTTAAGTAGACCAGATGTCCGGGTTAAAATACTGGCAGAGGCATTGAACATTTTTTTTACCTTTGTTACAAATATATAAGTAAGTTATGGCGGTGATACTGCATTTTATTGAGTGTTATCAAACTAAATATCTTTGTAGTTTGCACAGATCTTCGCAAACAAAATAAATAACCTGTAAGAATACAAAAAATTACTGAAAATTGGACGCTGGAGATGTGAACTATTATAATTGCTTTCTTAGTTTGGATTAAATAAAAGATTAATTATTACCAACAACAAATAATGGCTATAGAATGTATAAATAACGTATCTACCTGGGACTCCTAGAGTGTATCTACTGCTCAGTGTAGTTATTTAACATGAGATTTAAACCTCATTGTATATAATGGTTTATACTACCTGTTACAGTTCTGTTACTGAGATTAAGATATGTATAATAATGTATATATGATTCAAGAGAAAAAAGAGATATAATATATTTAAAAAGTGTTTAACTCATTCACCCCTGATATTTCATAATGAACTATTCAAAACCCTTGAATTGGAAAGGTTAAAATGTGTCTTCAGGGGTGAATGAAAAAATGTTACTGTAAATAACACTATTTTTGTGTTTATTTTTCAAATTATACATGTTTTATTTGTGAGTGCTTGAATTCACAATTGAGAGGATTTTATTTAAGGATTGATAGAAAGTATCTATGGAAATAAATAGTACATGCTAAATATTTAAATTTGCTAATGAACCAAATTATGTTTCTCAAAAATAAAGACATTCACTACAGTACTAACTAAAATAGTGAATTTTGTTATTCAATCTTATTATTATTACATACTAAACAGCCCGTCAACACCGGAGAGGTTATAAGGGCAAGTAAATGGTCAATAAAAAAAATATGTAAAACAAAGGAAAAGGTAAAACACAAATGTCAACCTGGATATCAAAAGTAGCTATATGGTTGTTTGGAAAAGATCAACAGTTTTTTCAGATTGTTTAAAATTGTAGAGACATTTGTTGTTTCTAAAAGAGATTTATGACATTTAACATTAATATAGAAATGTTCTGGAGTTGGCTAAAGGTCAACACAATCTAATACCAAGTGTTTTACTGTAAATGGTTCTTGATATGCTGTGTATTGAGGCTGGTCGTCATGTTTCAATAAATAACAATGGATGATGTATTTATTGAAACACATCCTAGACACTCCAGGAGTTAAGCTCACTTTCGCTCTTAGCACCCAAGAAATATGTCATAGCAAAATTGAAGGCACACGACTAGCTAGTTGATTGGTATGGAGTAAAACATCAACTGTCCTACCACTATGCTGTCTCCCTGCTTTGAAGATTAAAGTGGAGCAACATCCAACTTCAAAGATGGTCAATTTCACCTTAACGCTGTTGCAGGATTCCTTTGATGTACATTAAACGGTGAACGGGGGCAGAGAGCGTGTGTGAGCATAACCCCTTAAGTACATGTATTGATGTTGAGTGAAATGTGAAGACCAGCCTCGGTGCATAGCATATCAAGATCCATTTCGATCTATTATAACCACATGTACTCCATATCTGTGCCAGAAAACGGGTAACATTGAACAGCTTATACCCATCACTTTTTATTGGTGGTTCAAATTTGCAATTCTGTTAGAAGCATTTGAAAGAGCTCAAATATTGTATTCCTTCCTATTCATTTGTTATTACTTGTACATGTATGTGTTATTATCATTTTAGATTGATCATTGAATTAAATAGCGTTTAACCTTAAGTCTTACTTCAATATTCCAATTTTCACTTTTTTCTACAAATAATATTGACTTAATGCTTTCACCACTGTGGACCATAATGGACTCATCCAGATCAGTGCATGGTAGAGTTAACTAAAGTTACATAGGGTGAAAGGGTTAATGATATATTACTTTATTTCCAGTAAAAATTATGTGCTATTCCCAGTTTTATTACTTGTGAAATGAAAAGGGAATAAGATACAAAGGAAACACCCCAATATTGTGTTATTACAAAGTGTACTTGCCTTGTCTGTTATCAATACATGTAGATATAAACCCTCATTTTTATAAGCTAATCATGTGATCCAGAATGATAATTTTATTGATATTATTTTATGGAATTTGTTCATGTATATTAATTATCTCAAGTCTGTTGTAAAAGGGACATATTATAATCATGTAAATGTTATTACTGTAAAATAGAAAATGGATTCCCATGATTGTAAAGAAATATATATGAAATCTTGGGCGACACAATATTATTTATTGACATATGTGTATTGTTTTTGTGTGTTTATGTATTATGTACATACTGTGCAGTGATAAGCGATAAAATCGTACTGTTTGTATCAACTGTTACGGTATGATAAACTTAACTATATGAGGTCCTTAACAAAGTCGTACTAATTAACTTGTACAGGCCATGTGTGTTCATGCATTATACACAATTTAAACAGAGAAACACTTCAGTGTATATTTGTTGCTTTATACACATACTATGAAAAATGTTAATCACAAATATATCAACCACATGCATTTTCACATTAAGATTCACAAGAATTAATCTTGAATTTAAATGTGAACCATACCTATTTGGGTAAAGACTCAATGGAAATAGTGACTTGTCATCCAAGCTATGTGATTGTGCATTTGACATGTACATAGTGTTAAGATTAGTTCAGATGCAATCCATCTTAATAACCTTGAAATTTATAATAGTAATATTTCTTAATTGATTAGATATCCTATAAAAATGTTAATAATAGAAATCACAACCTGTCATTTCTTCCGTTATTTAGAGCAAATGACTTCAGCCTTAGAAAGTTATGTGGATAGAATGAAATATTTGCAACAATCTCAAACTACAAAGTTATAAAGTTTTAACAATAAAGCTGTCATGGTTAGTTTGCATTTTATTCTTACATAAATGTTGCACTTAGTAACTAAGTTAAAGTTTAAACATACTCTACTGTATAAATGAACCCTATAAAAATTAATTATGTCCTAGTAAAATTGAAGACAGGCGGCTATCTATTTGATTAGACACGGGTAAAAAAAACTTGCTTACACTTTCTGCACCCCTGGAATATGTCGTAGTAAAATTGAAGGCACACGGCTAACTATTTGTTAGGTTTACACCTGTCCTTTGAAGATTACAGAAGAGGGACACCCAACTTCAAAGCCAAAGACTCGTTACATGACGGCGAAATTCTTTTGATGTACATTAAAGGATAAAAGAAGCTTATTGTCTTATCTAAAAGGTGGCACACATACAGAGTGATTTTGCTTTGACATATTCCAGGGGTGCAAAGAGCGAAAGTGAGCGGAATGCCTTGAGTACCGAGGATGAAAGATATTATCATACTTAATACCCAGGTCCCTATGTTTGCACTTCTGTAATTCAGGGATTTTTTTTCGGATATTCCCTAGCCTTGGGAATATAACTACATTGTACTCCAGTGCTCTGTGGGAAATCCCTCTAGCTGAGTCCACCACAAACGTATGAAGGTTCACCACTGTGACACATATACATGTACCTCACCTGATATAGTTTTTAAAAATGTCGCTCACAGCTTCAGTTCAATGTCAGTGCAAAATAATTTACTTAAATATTAGCAATATATATGAATGGACATTAGTTAATGTGCTTGAAAAGAAAAGATGAATACCAAATGCAAGGGTCTTTTAAAATTTTGAAAGATCTGTTTCACACAAAATAAGGACATTTACAGCATCTTTCTTGAAAAGTTAAAAATGCATTTGCTAAATAATAATTACTATTTAAGCGAATAAGCTTATTGGTGTTAAGTGTACTTGTATTGTTTGGTGAAAATCGCCTTGTTGTCTATCATCAGATAGTATGTAGTCAAGTTTCAGATAAAATGTTGAACTTGCCAATGAATAGTAATCTGAAATAGTTTGACTCTGTGTAAGTATTTCGACTTCAGCAGAATCAAAATCTGGCTGGTGTTGCAATGTTTGAATGTATGCATATGGGTATAGTTACTAGCTTAACCCTTTCACCCCTATGTAACTTTAGTAGACTCTACCATGCATGGATATGGATGTGTCCATTATGGTCTTCAGTGGTTAAAAAGGTTAAGGATGTAATTGGGATGGCATGCTAACCAGTGGTGTAATTTGAGTTCAGGGTTGGTTTCATAAGTGAAAGGTTCTGTCAAATGTTGTACAAATTAAAACAGCAGGTTTTATTATAGGTAACTGAATCTCCCACCGTGAAAATGAAATAAAAAGTTTCACCAACAAAACTTGCCTTTTTTTCAAAGCATTTTCCCCAAAGGCTGTGCTAATATGTGTTTTATAAATATGAAAACATGTAGCATTTATAGTTTTTCAATATCAAAAGAATTCCAAAACAAATTCAGAAATGTACATACATTATGATATTTAAAACAGTTAATAATGAAACATTCACATGGAATACAATACTCAAATCATGCTTAAAGTACAGAAAGTAAACAGGAACATGGAAAATAATGCATTATATGATTTATGTACCAGAGGTAAAAAATTTGAATAATAATGTAAAATAAATGTATTGGCATTTTTGCATTTTTAAATTGACACCAAAATTGGATTTGTTATTCGTGTTAATTGTAGTGTTTAGCGTGATGTTAAATATTATGAAACGGTATAAGTAGGGGTTTTTACTTTTTGTATTAAAGTTTATCTTTCAAGGTTTTGTATTATGTGCGGGATTTTTTTATTATTATTATTGACCCATTAAATTTGTCCAAAATTTTGTATAACCTTTGATTCTACTCCCAACCTCAGTGGGTATGGAACTGCATCTTCTCGTAAAAGATTGGAAATGTATTGTTTTAGTCAAGTTTGCGTCATTATTTGAGATGTCATTTATCAGTTGTGATGCACGTTGTAACTACTGATGCTTTTAAATTAAATGGAACATTTGAAAAACTTCTGATTTTGTTAGTTATTTATGTATCAGTGTTTGGAAATATTCTCAAGTACATGTCAATTAAACACAATATTGAGTTTTGTTGAAAGACTCATGAGTACATTTTACATTAAGTGTACTAAAATTACCCAAAGGTAGGGTCAACATTAACATTAGCGCCGGCCCGCGCTCGGAATTTTAAAGCACGATAAATACAACAAGAGTACCGCGGGGCGAAACAATATATGCCCGTCGAATGCCGTATATAGTGTTATATACTTTTTTACATTGAAATAAGATCTGCATCATTCTAAGAGTGGTAAGCTGAAATTTAAGAGAAAATCTCCAGACAAAAAAATCAAATACACAAATGTACTGAAATTAAGGGAGACACAACTTCATATCATGATTTTAATGTATACCAAGTTTCAAAGAGATCGGTTGAAAAATGTAGGAGATTGCCTGACAAACATCAAATACTGAAATAAACAAAGGGCAATAACTTTTGCAAAAATCGGCGAATCAAAATTCTTTTAAGAGAAACACAACTTCATATCATGATTATAATGTACATCTGTATAC